TACAGTTTGGAGCCAGGACTCTGGGCTTCCTTTTGGGTTTGTTTTATCACACTATTGTTCATTTTGTATTCTGTGCATGTTCATGAACATATTGCATTGGGAGTGTGAAGACTATAGAACTACTTAGAGTCAGTTTTCTCCTCCTACAATGTGGGTCCTGGAGATTGAAGTCAAGTTGTCAGGCTTGGTAGCAGGGGCCTCTACACACTGAGTACTCTCCAGACCCTAATGCTTATTCTTTTATTTACTGTTTGCATGTTTGTGTGTGATGTGCATGTCTGTATATATGTGTTCACAATCATGTGTAGGGATATGTTATGTGTGAGCATGTGGGAAGGCCTGAGGTTGTTCAGTCATATTCCACTTTATTGAGGCAGGGCCTCTCCATTAATCCAGATTTTGCCAACTCCACCTAGTCTAAATAGCCAGCTTACCCCAGGGATCCCCTGTCTCTGCCTCCTTGAATTTAGCAACATAGCCAATTCAAAGCCCTCTCCCCTCCCACTGGATGGGTGGATGCTGTACACAGGTTGCAGGCTCTAGGGAGATGACTCCTAACTTGGCCTCTGCAATCACATTACCCATGCAAGGAATACACAGCAACAGTGGAAGAAACCCTCAGCACTGTGACTGCCATAAAGACCATCATCTCCTTCTCCTTCACATAGGTTCATAAGTCACATTTTCTCCCACTCTCTCTCTCTCTTCTCCCGACTCCTCTCAGTAAACATAGCCAGTGTGTACATGACACATAGGACATAACACCAGGCTAAAACTCAGAAACTCATGTGGAGTCACTCAGCTTTCAAGATCCCAGAGGACACTAGTGCTGCTGAAGACACACGTGTAACCATAGGAAGGCGAACTTGAACAGGAAGGACTGGAATGGAGGCAGAGCTGTAGCTCTGTGGCCCCACTTTGCCAGCATGCTGAGATTTGGCTTCTAGCTTCCTGCAGTGTCTCAGCTCCAAGGAGAGATGGTGATACCCTGCCAAAAGGCTTTAAAATTTAAATCACAATGGATGGGTGACTTGGTCCACACCCCTCACTTCAGCATCTGGGGGCCCACAAAGTCATTACTATGGTCACTGGTCTCATGGGCTTGGGCAGAACATCATGGTAGCAGAGTTATGTGAAGTTCTATACACACAGACACAGACACAGACACAGACACATACACACGGAGAGAGAAAGAGAGAGAGAGGAAGCTGAGGGGGCGGGAATAAGGAAAGGGATCTGAGCATCATGTAGCCGAAAGGATCTACCCCCAGTGAACCACTTCCTCTAACCAAGCTCCATCTTCCACAGTCCCATCAAATCAGGACTCTTTTGAGGGTTGAACCATGCTGGGCCTCTGGCCCTAAGGTGCTCTGAGAACTCCTTTACACACATTTTTTGGCTCTCAGTGCAGTCAGAGTTCCAGTCACAATGAACCATCCCAGTTACATATGGAAATAATTACACACTTTCACATATGTAGAAAAAATTATAGCCATGGGGCACACAGAGATTCACTGTTAAGAGGGTGTGTAAGCAGCAGTGGCCTACGGTTGAGCACTCTGTGCAGACATTTTGGTTTCTAATGCCACTCTGAGGGAGCTGCCTGGAGATGTGGTAGTTCTTGGGCCAGACCAAGTAACTGAGTCTGGGAGAGGCAGAAAGGGTCCAAAGGAGGGTTATGATCACTGGAATCTGCATGTAAAGTGACAAAAGTTGTGTGAATGGTTGGTTCTGGATGACGGCACTGTCTTGAGAGGTTATGGAACCTTTGGGATAGGCATTCTAGCTGGCACACACAGACCACTAGGGCGACCTTTGGAGGTTAAGCCCACCTCCGATTCTGATCTAAAGCTCTCTGCTTCATGATCCACGAAGAAGTGAAGAAGTCACATGCTCATGTCTGTATCAATACTCTGATAAATTATCTTGAGGGAGAGTGTTTGGTTGATAGTGGGGAGGGTGCTGCCCATCATGGGGGATGAGGCTGCTCAGAAAGATGAATGCTGGTCCTCAGCCCACTTTTTCCCAGTCCAGGACCCCCAACCCTTAGGTGCTGCCCACATCCAGAATGGGTCTTCCTATGTCAGTTAACCTAACCCAGAAATGCCCACACAGAGATGCTCACAGACCTGCCTCTTACGTGATTCTAGATCCTGTCAAATCAACAGTATCAACTGTCTTACCATGCTACAAGCTCTTACTACCGCTGACAGAACTGCCCAGCTGCCATGTCTCTCCTCCCATCTTGGGTTGAAAACCCGAGACTGTGAGTCAAGAAATCACAAAGAATACCCTTCATACCTGAAGTTGCTTCTGTTAGGCATTCTGCTACAGCAACAAGAAAAGCAACTAGTAATGCAAAGTATAAAGTACTCACGAATCCACTCTGACAAAAATGAGTTGACGGCAGCGCCAGAGTGGGGGAGGGGAATCCCCAGTGTGGGGGGGTTTCAATGACTGGTGAAGGCATGATATCCTGAGATAGGGAAACATAATGTTCACCCCCTAAGTGTGGGCCCCCTCATAGAACCCCAAGCTGATAGAGAAGGAATTACTCAGTGAACACTGATCCTAGCCTACACAGTTCTACCCACTGCAGCCCTTAGTGGCCTGAAGTTTGATTTCAGACACCTCTCTGTGGGTTGGACACGGGGAGCCTGAGCTTCCTCCTCTGCAGTATAACCTCCCCACTTCCTTAGAGCCTCATTTTCTCCTAAGCTTGAAGAGCTCTGAAGCCATGTGGGAGATTATGGGCAGTGGCTAGGAGGCTCTCACTAGTACCTAAGTTGAGTAAATGACTGATTGCTCCTTGTCACTTCTTGACTGTGACACTGGCAACTGCTGATGCCAAAACTCTGCCCACCCCTCTCATGCCCATATTTGGACATGGTACAGGTTCTCACTGGCCTTGGTCTGTGAGGTCCTGGCCCTCTTTGACTTCACAATCCCCAGGGGCCCCTTGTGTCTATAAGAGGAAGAGGGTGCAGGCTCTCCAGCCACAGCCCGCAAAATTCCACCTGCTCACAGGTTGGCTGGCTTAACCCAGGTGGTGCCTCCTGCTCTGAGCCAGCTTCCGGCCAAGACAGCACCATGGCCAGATACCGCTGCCGCAGCAAAAGTAGGAGCAGATGCCGCCGCCGCAGGCGAAGATGTCGCAGACGGAGGAGGCGATGCTGCAGGAGGAGGCGAAGTGAGCAGGGGTCTGGGCTGGGTCCAGGGGCCCGGGGGTTCTGGGGGTCCAGGGGGTCCAGGGATTGGGCACAGCCTGAGGTCTCCCTCACCACCTTTCTTTCTTCCCTAGGTGTGCTGCCGCCGCCGCACATACACCCTAAGGTGTAAAAGATACTAGATGCATAGCAAGTCCATCACAACTCCTGCCTGAAAATTTTACCAGACTTCAAGAGCCTCTCGCCACATCTTGAAAAGTGCCACCGTCCGATGAAAAACAGGAGCCTGCTAAGGAACAATGCCACCTGTCAATAAATGTTGAAAACTCATCCCACTCATGCCTCTTGGTTCTTGGGTTCTGGGAAGGGTGGGTGAATGTGGGTAAGGGGACATGAGTGACCAAGTGGAAAGGACTTCAAACCTCTCTATCGTCCCCAGCCATCTCTACAGAAGGGCTTAGGGAAGACGCATCTGAGGGACTCACCAGCAGACATGAGGGCCACCTAACCTGGGAGGTCTTGGGTCCAAGTCACACAAAGACCATCAAAGCCAGGCAGTTCCTGCCTGGAGACGTAAGACACCAAATGATGCTAGAGTAAGATGAGCTCCAGAGTCAGATTTAACTGGGGAACAAGAAATTCCAGTGGATCTGTGTGTGACAGGCTATCAAGACTCGCTTCACTGAAATGCCCCATCACCGACCCCTTCTCTGGTAAGCCCATGGGGCCTGAGCATTTGGGCTTGGCCCCAGTCCTTTGGTATGAATGCACAGGTCAGATAACCCTGGCTGGCATGTGCCTCCAGGGGCTGTTAGCTGAACCTGTGGCCAGCAAGTTCAACACTCATGGAAGGTTTTTGTGGTATTGGGGACCCAAGGCCTTACTCAGGTCAAAGGCCAATGAGTAAGGTCTTGATTCATCACTCTGTCCCACTTCAATATACTCCATGATGGGGAAACTAGGCTGTGTTGGAGATAGTGGAGATAAAGAGCTTCATTAATGTTTATTTTCTTGCTATTAGGTGAAGAGTACATTATCAAACTACACCTCAAGCCCCAGTCATGTACTATGGTTAAATGTAATTTGAGCTAGGGAGGTAAAGATGAGGGCTACACAGAGAAATCCAGGGTAGCCTGGGCTACAATGACACTCAAGAACTGTTCCAAGTATGCTTCGAATATGACCTGAGGTGTCTTACACCTTTAATCCCTGCCAGTGGGGCAGAGGCAGGCATATCTAACTGGTTGACCTACAGAGCAAGAACCAGGACAGCCAGGGTTACACAGCAAAAAATCCAAACCAAAACCATGAGAGGTTGCCAGCTTTGGGGGAAACATGTCCTTGGCTCTGAAGCCATGTTACCTCCAGCTGAACTCTGGCTCAGCAGTGACTTTATACTGATTTGGCCTGTGTATCCTTAGTGCATGTGGAGAAGGTGGGAAGCTTTCCTGCTGCCTAGTAGGAAGAAGACACACTGGGGCTGGGAGGTGATAAGTTGGGCACTGCAAGCATAACCCACAGCATGCAACAGGGCAAAAGGACCAGGATAGAAGTCCAAGGTGCGAGCAGCATGCTGCACTGGCTTTAAGACAAGGTGAGTAACTTGGCCCCTGCTCCCTGCTTGTGTCGCCCTCACAGAGGGGACTGGGCAGGGTGGGAACAATCAGGGGTGGGCCGACAGGTCACAGTGGGGTTTCCCTTTATATATGACCCCGAGAGCGCCCCACACCAGACCATCATCACCACCAAGAGCAGGTGGGGAGGCTTCCGTCCTCCTCCTCCCATCCAGGTTAGCTGCAGCCTCAGCCCAGAGCCACCTGATCTCCTGGCACTATGGTTCGTTACCGAGTGAGAAGCCCCAGTGAGCGTCCACGCAAGGGGCCTGGGCAAGAACATGAAGATCAGGGGCAAGGGTTGAGCCCAGAGCATGTGGAGGACTATGGGAGGACACATAGGGGCCACCACCATCACAGACACCGTCGCTGCTCACGTAGGAGGCTGCACCGGATCCACAAGAGGCGCCGGTCATGCAGGAGGCGGAGACACTCCTGCCGCCACAGGAGGCGGCATCGCAGAGGTAAGCACCAAGAGCCCCAGACCCCTGGCCACCTGTGTTGCTGCCCAGCAAGGCAAGGGTGGCCACATCTAAACCCTGCTGCCTCCCAGGTAGCCTAGCAAACCAGAACTTTCTTTCCCAAAGGTTGCAGAAGATCCCGCAGGAGGAGGAGATGCAGGTGCAGGAAGTGTAGGAGGCACCACTACCACTAGGCCTCCCCACTAGGCCATCCATCCTGCCTGGAGCCAAGGAAGTCACCTGACCAAGGAATAATCACATGCCCAAGTAACGTCACGGGAGGCCACAACACCGTTCCACATTGATGTCTGAGCTCTTGAGCTGCCAAGGAGCCACGAGATCTGAGTAATGAGCAAAGCCACCTGCCAAATAAAGCTTGACACAAGACTCACTGGTCGCTGTCTCCTTTTCTTGAACATCATGGACCTGAGGGGGAGTAGGGACCATTCCTAGTTATTTTGTGAGGATGGTGAAATGGGTAGGATTCTACCCCTGAAAATGAACAGGACTGCATAAGGGGAGGAAGAAAGCTGGGGCTGGACAGCTTTCCCAGTTCCTGACTTGGAAGGCTTGCCCGACATTTGCCAGAACACTAGTGGGGTCCACACTCAATGCATTGGTCATGGGAAAATCCTTCAGCTCCTGCCCCTGCCACAAGGCAGCCACTGTTCGGGGGCCATCTGAGCCAGTGATCAACAGAGCTCCAAGTTCCAGAGTGGGGGAGGGTGGTGCCTTGGCACCTGTTTATGAGGTCAGTGCCACACCCACTAGCCTCTCATCCTCCCGCTGCCCAATTTTCCTGCCTCCTAGTCCAGAGAGAGACAGGAGTGGGTGATGGGTTCCCGCTGTGCCAAGCTCAGCACCGGCCATGGCACTGCCCAGAACACTGGTCATAGCCGTGGCCACGAGTCCTCCATGAAGAAGCTCGTGGCCTGTGTGAGTCAAGACAACTTCTCCCTGTCATCAGAGGGTGAGGAGGAAGAGGATGAGGAGGAAGAGGAAGAGGAGGAGGAGGAAGAGGAAGAGGAGGAGCAGATCCCGGTGAAAGGCAAGCTGTTGCTGATGCAGCCCGAGAAGCAGGAAAGCACTGAGGATAAGGCCGTGGCCCAGCCGAGCCCTGAGCCCAAGCAGACGCACTCCTGACCCACCCTGAGGCCTGCCCGGTGATGGTTGCCCATCACCACTCCAGAAAAGAGGACATTCAGAAAATAAAGAGTCTCCAAGGAACTTTCCTGGCTTCCCTCTTTCCTTTGATGTGTGTATGAGTGTATGGGCAGGCCTGGAGAACAGCCACCAGGGTGGGGATCCATTCTGAAAGGCTAGCTGGCTGTCTCTGTAGAGCCCTCATTTTGCTGCAGTGCTGCTTGGGGGGGGGCAATTCTTCCTCTGAATGCTGAGATTACTTACAGGCTCAGACATATGTCTGACTAGGACACACTTGTCCTGGAGACCCAAAGAGAAGACATGTCTGCTTTTTAGTGCAATTCTTCTGCCCCCTTCATGCTTGGGAAGTTAGTTCCTGGCCTCCCAGGAGGCTGACTCCTTTTCTCGGCCCAGGTCCCGGCACCTGCACTAGTCGGGGTCTGCAACCGTCCTGATCCCGTCTCCCATTAACTCTTACCCAAGAGAAACAGCAGGTGTAACTTGCCCTGTGGAAGAGCCCTGTTTTCCCTTGGCTTTTATCCACACTGCCAAAGGTTCCCTTTCAGTCACCAGGAACCTGGTAGTGGAACCTAGTGTTAGTCCTCAGGGGAGAGTCAAAAAGCCATGGTGAGTACACAATGTCTTCGGGGAGTTGGGGAAGGTTGGTGGGGAACTGTGAAGGATGAGCAGTAAAATAGGACAGAGGCCCCAAACAGTCCTTCAGGTCTGGTCTAGTCTCCTCCCCACACAGTGAAGGGTTGGGTTGCTAGTCGCTCTCCCGAGGCCTCAGGGCCAGCTGTTATCCTCTCAGAGCACAGCACAGAGCCTATGTTTCAGGTGTGCTGCCCAGAACAGGAGTCTAGCCACTGCTCCAGACTTGGGGTCAAACCCCAAGGTCTTGTGAGCACTATCCCTTGTGAGGACACTTGCCAGTCGATGTGAAGGCCAGTCCAGCTGGTCTGGCACAGCCTATGATACTTAGCTTCCATACCCTTTCAAATACCTCTTCCATAAATAAGGTTATAGTGGTAGGATCCTTAAGAATGTGGGTACATATCTGGAGGGAGAGGAAGCTACCATTCAGCCTGCTAATTGGAGTAACTGGGATGCTCCTAGGAAAAGCTGGCTAAAAAAGGATGAATACAGTAGGCAGGGCTCAGTAAACCAGGCAGTTTTCACAATGGGCCATCTGGCATGTTTATTAAGAAATCAAATTCGAGCTCTGCATGGTATATGCCTGCAATCCCAGCACTCGGGAGGTAGAGTCACCCTAAGCTGTGCCAGCTCATTGAGACTGTCTCAACAAAAGATGAGTTAAATGGCTCTGTGGTTAACTTGCCATCAAGCTAAAAACCTGACTTCAAGGAGAGAAACCATTCCTGAGAATTATCCTCTGAAAACACACACACGCGCACACATGCGCACGTGTGAGCACACTCACACACACACACACACACACACACACAACACACACACACACACAGGTCCACACCAGTAAAGGCTGACCAGCAGTGTCTTGGTAATAGTACAGAAACATGGTCAGGGCCTTGTGGGCAGGAGGGTGACAGTGTCTCAGGGCCAGAGTTGGGGAAGCACAAGAGATCACAGGGGCTCTGGTAAAGTGGCTGGAGATTGGGAAGAACACATTGGCTCCAGAGCACACCAGCTTCAAGGTGACCTTTTCCTTTCCAGGTGAGTGGCCAGAGCAGACAACACTGAGTCCCACTGAGAGGCTGTCAGGACTGGGATGATATTCCAGGCTCAAAAGAATGGAAGGAAGACATTGGTAACCCCATGGCATACCCAAGATCAGACTTCAATGCAAATTAAGCTTTGAACACCACCCTCAACCTCTCACCTGGGAAGGCTGCTGGGGAGATGGGCCCATTCCAATTCCTAGTCACTATAAGCCTTTGATCCAAGATGTTATCCAGTCAGGTCACACAGCCTCACTGCCCACCACTGGCTATACCTCTATGGCAGGCCAGGCACCAGGTGGCAGGTGGAAAAGAACATTCTGCAGCTGTCAGAGGCCTTGAAGCACTGACTGCAGACTGGTCCTCTCCAAACCTCACGATGTCAATTGTTAATAATCCCAATGTCAATGTCACTGTGAGGCGGGTACAACAGTTTATTATCCCCATTCTGCAAAGCTAGGGAAAATGAAATATGGAGAAGTGAAGACAAGAAGCAGCATATCTGAGATGTGGCCTCAACACAATCTGACCCACAGGGTCCTGAAAGCTGCCCCGCCCTGGGGAGAGGGCGAGGGCCAGGGCTTTCCCATAACTGTCACCCTCTGTGGCCTGTGCCATCATAATTGGCCCAGCTATATAACTGGGGGCTCTGGGGACTCCCCAGAGCTGGGCCTGCTCGAAGAGGAGGAGGAGGAGGTCTCTGCCCCTCCAAGTGTGGCCTCCCATGGACACCAAGATGCAGGTCTCCACCACTCATCCCCATCCCCATAGCTCCACTCGGCCCCAAGGTCACACCTGTAACCAGTGCAACTGCAGCCATCACTGCCGGAACTGCAGCCTCGCAGGCCACCCAAGCTCCAGTTCCAGCCCCAGCCCTGGCTCGCCATCGAGGCACCCCAAACAAACCATGCACTCCCGATACTCAGCTTCAAGGTCCAGCCACCGTGGCAGCTGCTCCAAGACCAGGAAGACCCTGGAAGGGAAGGCGAACAAGAGAAAGGCGGCCAGGAGGCGGAAGCGGACACACCGAGCTAAGAGACGTAGCTCAGGTACCTACTGGAGCAGTGGGAGGCTCTGCTGCAGCCTAGAAGCAGGGAAGATGGGCACAGGCTGCCCAGGAGGCTTCTGGATGGAGGGAGTGAGTGGGAAGCTAGTATTAAAGGACCCTTTCCCATTGCTATCTTTTAGGGAGAAGATACAAGTGAGACAACACTCCAGGTTGTTCCTGTGTCCATTTGATCCCAAACGGAGACAGCCATGACTAGGGGAATGTTGGGAGGATGCTGACCTTACAGGAACGTGTCACTGCAGCAATTTCTATGTAACATGGATTAAAGCTTGTACCCTGGAAGACTATCCTTGACTTAGCAGTTTTGCTTTGTTTTAAATAAAGTGTCCCAAGCAATAATTGTGCAATAACCAATCGCCTTTGATTCATGCATGGTCACCCGCCGTGACACCAGGGAGGAAAAACGTTACTGAAAGTAGTGATGACTCCTGTGTGTGTTGTCCACCCTTGCGGGGAGACCCAGGTGTTCTGTGGAATCTTGTCTGCCCAGGCTATTGTCACCCTGCAGGAAAACTTCCTCCAGTTCTCCCTGCTCCACAATAATCAGCAGCATATCCATACAGGGGCTGGGCACCCTCACCTGAGTGGGACTAAGCATCCCCCCTTCTACCCCCAACTGCTCCACACCTTCCCACCCCATCAAGGAGTGTTGGGCAAAGAGCGCTTTCAAAATCACACAGTCAGTTCCCAGAACACTGTCAAAGCTGGAAAGAGAAACCAAATGCTCTCTACCTCTCCTACCTCCATGGCTAGAGAAAGGTGGCCAGTAAGGTCGGGTTGCATCCAGACCCAAACTGCATGCTTATGACCATAGCACTTTGGCAGAGGCAGGATAAACTTGCCACACAGGAGCTCAGCTGCTGGAGAGCAAGAAGCCCTGAGTTTCCCAGCATAAACTAGACACCTATAATCTCAGCACTTAAATGGGCACTCTGGTCTGCACACCCCACCCCACCCCCTGGCCAGCTATGTTTGTTGCTCAGCACATTTCTCTTTTCCTCTGGTATCTGGATTTGGTTTCATTTTGATTTGAATTCACAACTTTCTAGAAATTGAAACTGAGTTGTCTGCTGCAATGTAGGCTGTGAGGAAAACTGCACCCAAATATTCTGCTTGACTCATCCTGAACTTTGCAGCCATGTCAAGGTACAGGAGAATTAAGACTCAGAAGGCTGGAAGAGACACAACAGGGAAGCATCCCAATGCTCAGAGATGCAGTGAGACTGGGCCTCTCAGCTTCTTTATCCGCAGACAAACCAGTGTGGAGACCATTGGGATGGGTCAGAACCCTGGCTGTACAGTAACTGCATCATGAACACATACATGGTTTAGTTTCCACAGCTGTAAAGTGAAGACTGAACCACTGGGCCCAGGAGTGATTTAAGATCAGAAAGTGCTTAGCATGCAGTCAGCCTAAGCTGTAGGTCACAGCAAAGGAAGTATGGTCCCTAAGGATGGATGGGAGAGGCTAGCCAGGGCAGGGATGAGAGGACTGAGGGAATGAGGGTAGCTCTCCTGAGCAGCTGCTCAATGGGAATGGGGGTGGTGGGAGGCCTAGGGCCATCTGCTATTTATAGGCTTTCTTCTGCAAAGGCCTGCCAAGGAGCTTGGCAGGGAGGCAGGCCTGCAGAAGCCAGCCCAGCCTTGCCACCTTCTGGCAGGCCCACCCACCTCAGCACCAGCTCTCCTGCTGCCAAGTCCCAAGGAATACTGTACCTTGAAGACAAGTACCAAGAGACTTCCCTCTCCCACTTTGCCTGCTCTAGTCTATACTCCCTGAGCTTGGGTGTCTAAAAGAGACACAGTAGGCTTAGGATAGGATTCCATGCACAATCCCCCGACCCCCCACTCCCCGTGTTCAGTTCCCAACAATGCATAAACCAAGCATGGTGATGCCTGCCTGTAATCTCAGCCACACAAATTCAAGGAGCTCAAGGCCAGGATTTTTAGTTATGCTTAGGATGAAATGTGGAGTTCTGAGCTCAGCCTGGGAAAACTGAGGAAGGGAGACCAGGAGGACCTGACCACTGAGCTTCAGACTAGCCGACAGGCAGCATTCCGAGAGAAGCCTGTGGAGGGCAGTGTGCGTCATTGCGAGATACCGAAGTTTGCACGCGAACCTCCTCACCCGCCTTCATTCATAAACATCGCCACCAGCCAGGCTTCTACTCATGGTCTTCCAGGACGAACTGAATCACAAAACCACACAGTGTCCTAATGATAGGTCTGACCGCCTGGATCCCAAACCCAAGGTGTACACGGAGCACGGGAGCCCTTACGCAAGCAGATGCTTGCTGGAGCCTTGAGGGCATCTGTAAGGTTGAGGCGGGATGGTGGGGAGACGAGTGTTGGGGTTACAGCTGAGAAAGCCTCATTTTTTTCCGCACTGGGTTCGTCTGGAGATACCCAGCTACTGTGAATCACGTAGTTTCTCCAGTTGCCCACGTAGTAGGAGTGCAGGGAGAGTGAGTCCAGGCCGCTGGGGACCCAGCCCAACCCCACCCGGTTTCCGAGGAACTCGGCCGGGAGCGGGGGTGCCCCTCCCGCATCGCCTTAGGCTTCCTTTGAAGCCTCTGCGGTCAGGCCACCGCTTCCTGGGAAGCCCAAGCCAAGGCCAGGCCGGGTGGCCAACGGGAGGGGCCCGCGCATTGGGTTCCGAGGAGGGCCGCGGCCCCGCCGGGCTTCAGGACTGAGCCGCGGGCTCCAAGATGGGCCGAGATTGCCAAGGCCTTCGGGTCCTGGGCGGGAAGAATCCTTGCAGGGAGGAGCTTATTAGGGGGGGCGCAGGTTTCAGGCAAGGCGGAGCCCTGACCAAGAGGATGCAGACACCCGGAGGGGAAGAGGAGTGCCAGCGCCGCGCGAGCATCCCACCCGGCCGGCTGCAGGGATGTGGGGCGAAGGTGGCCATAGCAAAAGAGCGGGCACCAGGTCCTAAGGCGGCCATCCCAGATACGGGCTAGAAGATTTGAGGCAGAGCCAGAAGCCCAGGACGCAGAGGTCCCAATCAGGGAAGGTGCGGGGTAAGACGGAGCTAGAGAACGGTCTCCAGGGAAAGCCGCAGGAGGCGAAAGAGTGGACTCGAAAGACTCGCCGGAAAGAGAAACCGAAAGCGGCGGTGGGTGGGACTGGTAGGCGGGGCTTCTCTGGCAGGTTTAAGAGCCTGATGCAGGGGCAGGCAGCCCCAGAGCGAGCTGCGGCCGTGGCAGCTGCACGGCTCCCGGCCCCGGAGCATGCGCGACAGCCGCCCCGGAGCCCCCAGCCGCGGCGCCCCGCGTCCCGCCGCCAGGTGAGCCGGGACAGCGGCGGAGGAGGAGGTGGGAGGGGATGGGAGGAAGGGGAGCTGAGCCCGGCAGACTGGCCTCTCAGACTGCTTGGTGGGGTCGTGGATGCCACGCCTCTGGTGCCCGCCCGCCCGCCCCACCGGCTCGTCCAGGCGGGCCCCCGCGGCGCGGGGTGCCTGCAGCGCCTCCTCTCCGGCCCTGAGCCCAAGTCGCCCTCCAGGGTTCCAGTCCCCGGTGTGGCCAGCAGGCGGCAGCCGCTGGGCGGCGAGCCACTAGCGGGGACGGCCCGAAATCGGGCCCCTCTCCACGCCCCCTTCTCCACGCGCGCGGGGAGGCTGGGCTCCACCACAAGCCTGGAAGGGTTCCATGTACGGGAATGGCCTACTTCGCAGATAAGCCCACGGAGGCTCAGATGCTCCGGGCGGATTCCGCGTTCCGCCCTCGCTCCTTGGGGTCCGCTGGCCGGACAGCGCCACCCGGACGCCCGGCTCACTGCTTCTGTCTCCCTCATCAGCGCAGCCCCGGACGCTATGGCCCACCTCTCCGGCTGGCCCCTCGTGTAGGATGGTAGCACGTAACCAGGTGGCAGCCGACAATGCGATCTCCCCGGCAGCAGAGCCCCGACGGCGGCCAGAGTCCTCCCTCATCCTCGTCTTCGTCCTCTCCGGCCGCCCCCTCGCGTACGCGGCCCTGCCCTGCGGTCCCGGCCCCGGCCCCTGGAGACACTCACTTCCGCACGTTTCGCTCCCACTCCGATTACCGTCGGATCACGCGGACCAGCGCTCTCTTGGACGCCTGCGGCTTCTACTGGGGACCCCTGAGCGTGCACGGGGCGCACGAGCGGCTGCGTGCTGAGCCCGTGGGCACCTTCCTGGTGCGCGATAGTCGCCAACGAAACTGCTTCTTTGCTCTCAGCGTGAAGATGGCTTCGGGCCCCACGAGCATCCGCGTGCACTTCCAGGCCGGCCGCTTTCACCTGGACGGCAGCCGCGAGACCTTCGACTGCCTCTTCGAGCTGCTGGAGCACTACGTGGCGGCGCCACGCCGCATGTTGGGGGCCCCGCTGCGCCAGCGCCGCGTGCGGCCGCTGCAGGAGCTGTGTCGCCAGCGCATCGTGGCCGCTGTGGGTCGCGAGAACCTGGCGCGCATCCCTCTTAATCCCGTACTCCGTGACTACCTGAGTTCCTTCCCCTTCCAGATCTGACCGGCCCATTGCCGTGCCCGCAGCATTAAGTGGGGGCACCTTATTATTTCTTATTATTAATTATTATTATTTCCCTGGAACCACGTGGGAGCCCTCCCCGCCTGGGTCGGAGGGAGTGGGTGTGGAGGGTGAGGTGCCTCTGGCTTCTGGCTGGAGACCCCATCCTGCCTCTCAGGGGGCCTCCCCTCCAGGTGCTCCCTCCAGGTCCCCTGGTTGTAGCAGCTTGTATCTGGGGCCAGAAAGAACCTGAACTCCACTCCTACCTCTCCATGTTTACATATTCCCAGTATCTTTGCACAAACCAGGGGTGGGGGAGGGTCTCTGGCTTCATTTTTCTGCTATGCAGAATACCCTATTTTATATTTTTACAGCCAGTTTATATAATAAACTTTATTATGAAAGTTTTTTTTTTAAAGAAAAATAAGATTTCTGGAGTGTATATTTTTGTCAGGTATCCTGGGTTGGGGATGGGGGCAAGGGATATGCAGATTGATTTTTTTCTTGAAGTGGTTGGGGATGCTGGGGCTGGGGGTTGGGCAACATGCACAACTCCACCCACAGTATTGGGGACCAAATTGCCAGGCTAGTTTTGATGTGTGTCTGGAAAGATGGCTGCTCCAGTCTGAGCACTCCTGGGTATCTGTGCCTGGTCTCTGCTACCCCTGCTTGAGCGAATCTTCCAGGGACAGCCCCTGACACTTAGTACTGCCTTGTCCCCATCGTACAGAGGAGAAAAGTGAGGGACAGGTAATTGGTGCCAGGCCACTCCTGGTGGAGAGGTGGGCCCCTTTGACTGTCTACCCCTGCATCAGTTTGAACTGGATGACAGAAAAGAAACTTCTTTGCTCCTCTGACCACAACTACTTCCAGGAAGAGGGTGGGGCAGAGCCGCCAGGGGCTTACCGAGTTTTTGGAAGGAGTGGCAGGTTCTGCAAGCCATCAAGTGTTTGAGAAGCGATGATGAGCCATGCTGGCTTGACTGTTGCTTCCCACCCCACTCTGCCTTGTGTACTTTTTCAGAGCCAGAAAGCTGCTTTGTGGTCTGTGGTGGCAGGGGCCTGGTGCTGCTGGTGGCTTGGGCAATTCCCTTTGCCTCTCTGGGCCTCTGAAAGGCCCAGCTCTGTGAGGTAGTGGTGGTGGCAAGAATCCAGGTGGAAGGGCTGTTTCAGGACACTTGTGGGTACCAGAAAGGACCTAGGACATTGGCTTTGAGACAAATTGGCTGGGTAGGAACTGGTGGGCTGAGTCACAGCTAAGTGTCATGCTTCCAGAGGCTTTCCTAGTGTCTAGTGATTGTGTCCAGAGGAAGCAACTGCTCTGGGCACACTGGCTGGGCCCAGGCTTGCTCTATGGTTTAGAAGGGCTGGATTCTTCCAGGCCCAGGGCAGCCAGTCCTTCAGGGAGGCGGGGTGGGAGAATGGAGGCCATGTTTGGTTTGCCCCCTATTCCTTCTTTTTTAGACCTGACCTTGCTGTATGTATTAATGAGGTCCTACCCTTGCAGGGCAGAGACCAAGTGGCAATACTAGTGATAATTTGCAGACCTCCTAGTTAGAGCTGGGGGGGAGGGTGCTAACTGGGAAGACCCTGTTTAAAATACTTGGACCTGCCTGGAAGTCAAGCTCCTACCTCTAGGAAATAGGCCAAAAGGCAAAAAGGAGCTCCCACACTGGCACAAACCAGCTGCCATTCACCTGGGCCTTCTGATTGGTAGTGTGGTACTGTTGGCATCCCCATTTCACAGGCAGGAACCAGCCCTCCTTCAAGCATAAGTTGAATTTGCAGTTAGTTTTACAGCATGCCAGGGGGATTTCCTGCTCTGAAAAAAAGTTGGCAAGTTCTGTGTTCATCACAGAGGTCTAAATCACAGACCCATTGCTTTGTAAAAGCCGGAGGCAGAACAGCTAGGAATAAAGACTCCTGTCCCTCGCCCTCCCCAGAGCTGGCCTCTTCTTCCACTTATGAGTCATTAAAAAAAAAAAAAAAAAAATCCATCCTGACATATGAAAGGTGACCTAAAAGTCCCTGGGAGTGGCACTAGTTGTCTGTCTGTTGCCCTGTGGGTTCCCTGGGGCTCAGATTCTCTATCTGGCCCCCAAACCTCAGCCTTATGATTCATCAGTGATTACATTTCTGCACAAGATGAAAAGTGAGAGGAAGGACCAAGTAGGGGGCCAGGTCGGGTGTGGGGCTGGCAAACAGGGAAGGGAGCATGTCTGATTATTGTATGTGCTTGCACACACACACACACACACACACACACACACACAGGAGACCAGCCTAAAAGCCAACACAGCTGGCAACTGTGGGCTTTGTTTTACTGAGGAAGAAGACTCAGGTGCAGGAAGGTCCAATGTGGCAGCCAGGCCTTGGAGTAATGGGGTTGTGCTGTTTTCAGCAAGATGAGTGAGCTCTCTCTCTCTCTCTCTCTCTCTCTCTCTCTCTCTCTCTCTCTCTCTCTCTCTCTCTCTCTCTCTCTCTCTCTCTGTGTGTGTGTGTGTGTGTGTGTGTGTTGTTTTTTGGAGACAGGGTTTCTCTGTATAGCCCTAGCTGAACTCGATCTGTAGATGAGGCTGGTATCGAACTCAGAGATCCACCTGCCTCTGTCTCCCTAGTGCTGCCTTTGTACCACCACCCAGATGAGTTTCTTAAAAGAGTTGAGGAGGGAAAAAAGAGGGAGGGAACCTGTGAAGTGCATTTCTGGGCCTCCCCTTATCCGTGGGCTCTCTTCAACCTTAGGAGGTGGTCATGAAATGGACAGGCAAGCCTTTTCTCTTCTCTGGATTGTCCATCATAAAGCACTTAGCACAGAACCATGGTATGTAGTAGGTGCCTAATCTCTGCACAATGAGGTGCTCCATGTCCAGATCACAAACACTAAAGTAAAATCTGGGAAGATGGAGAGTTCATGGTCAGTCTGGACTGATAGATAATAAACACTACCCATTTCAGGTGTTCTAAGCCCAAGGATACAGAAATGGATGGAAGAGGGATTCTGGGCTCTGTTATCAGGCAGAGTTTTGCTAAATATAAAGAAATGATACTCCAAGCAGTGCTCAGAGGAAAGCTAACGGTGGCTGGTGGTGGGTGGCACTGGACAATATCAGGAAGGCCATCCAAGAGTCCTTGAAGTAACAGATCTGAAATGACCAGGAAAGATGGGGGAAAGGCATAATGGAGAGGGCAAACCCAGTTTTGCTCACCACATAATTTTCCAGCAGGGAAGGCTCTGTTGTGCTGTGCAGGACCCCACTGGTCTCAGGGGGGACTTCGTAGGGAGCCTGGACGCACACTGTGTTGGGACCGGGTCCTCTGGCCTTTGGGTAGAGATGGGTTGAGGTGGCTAGTCCTGACATCACAGGTTTGAGCTTGCCTGTATAGGGTCACTCCTGGCCAGAGCTTTGCTCCAACAGGCTAAACAGCAAGGGAAACAGAAGGCTGAGGTCCAACACAGGTCAGTTGTGGAAGGCCTCTCTCAAAATCTCAAGTGTGAGTCTGTTTGGCACCTGGGGCTCCTGAAGCAATGCCCATCTGAGCAGGGTGGGACTCAACTTTAGGAAAGCCCACTGGGTTCCAGGAAGGAGGTGTGTGAAGCTGACGGGTTGTTGTAACCTGGGCCACTTGCATGGCTACTCCACACCCCTGGGCAGCAGCTGGTCAGGCCTCCCCCATAGAAAGTACCTAGAATAACAAAGGGGGGGTCAGCTTAATACTGGGGGAGCCTCAAGGGTCCTCCTCAGAGTACTGTTTTCACCAAAGCAAAAATCACACAACAGCAGTGCCTAGTGTGGCACCTTGAACTTGGAACTGGGACCTAAGCCACAACCCTTACAGGAACCACGGGTCCCAGGCCCACAAGTGACTGTGGGATGTTTGGTACATCTCCTATCCTGTCCTGCCCTGGCACACAGGCTTGAGGACCTAAGGCCTTTGCAGGGGGCCTTGCCTAGCTATGGCCCAGTGCTCACTAGCTCCAGCTTTCAGGCCGTTGTGCTTTGTGTGGTGGTAGGTGACTAGGTAAAGCATTGGTCCTGTTTTCAGCCAGTGGTTGATGACATCACTACACTTACTGGCCTGCACTGGGCTACGCTCACCTCTGCTTGGCTTCCTTCACCAGCAGCCCCCTTGTGGAATGAATGGGGGCCTGTGTATGCAGCCTGGTTGGCTCCTTAAAAGGCCTAGAGAAGGCATATCTCGAGGTTATACCAGGTCAGAGTGATGATAACCAGCCATCCTCTGTCCACACCCACTTTTATAATATTCATTTTTAAGTGGGGCAGTGGTGGCACATGCCTTTAATCCCAGCACTCAGGATGCAGAGGCAAGTGGATCTCTGTGAGTTCAAGGCCATCCTGGTCTACTAAGGGAGTTACAGGACAGTCAAGGCTACACAGAGAAACTCTGGAAAAAAACAAAGAATATTTTTATTAGTTTTAATTATGTGTATGTGCATGTAATATTTTTGCAGAAGTGTATGTGCATATTAGTGACAGTGCCCTGGAGATCAAAAGATGGTATCAGATTCCCTAGAGTTAGATTACAGATGGCTATGAGCCACATGATGTGGGTACTGGGAATCGAACTCAGGTTGTCCTAGGTCTTTTGTCTTTTTCTGTTGCTGCAATAAAACATTGACCAAAAACAACTTGGAGGAGAAAGGTGTTTATTTAATCTTTCAGGTCACAATGTATCCCTGAGTGAAGTGAAGTCAGGGCAAGAACTTAATCAAGAACTTGGGGGTAGAAGATAAAGCAGAAGCCATGAAAAGGCTTACTGTCTTGTCCAGTTTGCCCGTGTGTGTGTGTGTGTGTGTGTGTGTGTGTGTGTGTGTGTGTGTGTGCGCCAATATACACATACATATATGTAAAGTGAACTACCTGCCCTGGAGTTGGTATAACACACAGTGGGCATGAGCCATTCTAGATCAATCATTAGTTAAAAAAATGCCCCCACAGATACAGCCACAGGCTAATCATCTGGAGGCCATTCTTCAAGTAAGATTCCCTCTTCTCAAGTGGCTCTAATTTGTGTCAGGTTGACAAAAAATGACCAGCACATAGGGCCTTTGAAAGAGCAATACTGGCATTTAACCTTTTAACCACTGAGCCATCTCTCTAGTCCCTAATCCTCTTTTTTTTTTTTTTTTTTTTTTTTTTTTTTTTAATTTCAAGACTGCTTTTCTGTGTAGCCATAGCTGTTCTGGAATTGCTCTGTAGACCAGGCTGGCCTTGAACTCAAAGATGCACCTGCCTCTTTTTCCTGAGTGCTGGGTTTAAAGGTGTGTGCCACTACTGCCTTAACCCTCTTTTTAAAGACGGTCTCCTAGATCTCCATCCTAGTTCTGAGTTGGCCTGGACCTCAGTATATAGCTTAGGCTGTCATTAAACCCTCAGTTCTCCCACTTCAGCCTGCAGGTTTGAACTGCTGTGCCCTGCT